AAGTTGTCTTTATAGGTGAGCAAACGTGTCAGGTGGGTCCATTTGCTTTACCTTAATGGGTAAAAACAAGTCGATATAATGAGCCCAGTGTGTTTGGTTTGTTAGGAAGCTGCATCACACAGCCTAATGTGCAAAACAGTCGTGTGCTAGGCGGATCATTACGCAACAATGAACACCGCAATTGTGTATTTTCAAAAGGCAGACGCGTAGATTTCTACTCTTTGTATCTGGGCACATAGATTCTCACCTCCCTCTTCAGCTATTTCGACTTTCTTAAAAAGAAAAATAGAGACTGTCAGCAAATCTCCGGGAGTTGAAATAAGGATCGTCCCCTCGATAGACCTCAGACTCAGTAAAGTTCAACATTGGGCTCTTTTTCAACAGCTGTTTTTGTGGAAACTTTACATCTGGAATTTTTAGAAGCATCTGATTTTGCCCAATTTTAGTAAAATATGCTCCAAATTTTGCTAAAAAAGCAAGGTTAACCCCTTACCTTTTTAGATTTTTCATACAAATCTGATTTTGCCAAATTTTACTAAATATACAAGGTACACCTCTTACAATTTAAAATTTTTCATAAACATTTCTTTTTGTCCAATTTGCTAGAAATACAGGGTTAAGCCCTAACAATCTGCAATTTTCCAGAATCATCTGATTGTGTCCTATTTTGCTAAAACAAAATGCAAGGTTAACCCCTTACAATTTGAATTTTTTTCATGAACATCTAATTTTTCCCAATCTTATTAAAAATGCAAGGTTAACCCCTTACAATCTGCAATTTTCCAGAAACATCAGATTTTTTCCCCAATTTCGCTTTAAAAAAATGCAAGGTTAACCCCTTATAATTTGAAATTTTTCATAAACATCTAACTTTGCCAAATTTCACTAAAAAAGCAAGGATATTCCCTTACATCTGAAATTTTTCGGAAACATCTGATTTTGCCCAATTTCGCTAAAATATGCAATCATGATGTTCACCCCTTACAATTTTTCATAAACATCTAACCCCATACAATCTGCAATTTTCCGGAACATCTGATTTTTCCCGATTATGCTAAAAAAAAATACAAGGTTAACCCCTTACAATTTGATTTTTTTTCATAAACATCTAATTTTGCCCAATTTTACATCAGCTTATGCTAACAAATTATCAGGTAACTGGATCATTAAACGGGACAGGTGCACATCGGCCTTGGAGCTCAGACCATGTGTCATGCACTCCTCAATGCATAGATGATGCACATAACACTATGGGTAGTACAGGCACAGCTGGGGCAACCTCTTCCCCAGTACTTACTTTATTTCCAACCGCGTTTCCAATAGTAAACCCTGGATAGGAAACTTTCTTCCTGTATCCTGATTGGATACCGCAATTTGCTATCAATGGAATTGTATCGTGTACTTGGTGCTATTATTCACAACGTGCAGTACGTGTTTTCGCGATCATTTTTTTCGTCCACGCCTTCTCGAAAATACTAATTTCCTTTCCAATTTGCTCATGTTAATATGAAATATGATACTGCATGTTGTCTCGATATAAGATCGTAACAGTTTGATTTCAAAAATCGTTTTTTCGTAACTCACGCCGTGCTCGCGCTGCTACGAATTGACTCTGTTTTTACCCCAGACACCGCATACAAAAACAAACGCTAATGTGTAACGCATATCCAGGCGCCAGACTGTTCCTCATTTGCATACGTGTTCAAAAATCTTGCACATGCAAATGATCCAAAGGTGCGTACTGCTCGACACCCTTGGGACGAGGTTGCAGCTGGGGGTACTGCCCAAACAATGATGAACGCATTGCGTATGCTTAAAGAATTACCCACAACTCCGGTTTTTACCGTTTAGGTCTGGCTCTAATCACTTTACGCGATCCCCTGACGTCTCATACACTGACTTTAGGCAAAATAGTCAGACTTTCGCGGTCTACAAAAAGCTCGAAATGTCAAACATATGTGTAAAACATTGCTCACATATTTGAGAATATCGCAAATATATTGTAAAACAACACACACAATTGTATCGAAAAACATCGCACATTTAATGCAAAAAATCGAACATAATATTGAAATCATCGCACATATATATCGTCAAAAACATCGCACATATAAATTGAAAATCGCATATAAATGTAAAACATCGCACACATAATAATGAACATCCCACATATATTGTAAAACATCGCACAGATATATTAAACATCGCGCAAATAATGAAAAACATCGCACACTTATATTGAACATCGCACAATGTAAAAGATAACAAACACATATTGAACATCCAACATATATATTGCAAAATATTGAATATTGCAACGTTTGACACGCCATATAGGCGCAGTACCGAGAATTCGGTTTAGGGTACACGTGGAAGTACCGTAGAATGTTTAGGCGACACAAGCCTGTAAAAGGATATGATTATGGACTCCGACTCTCTATGCCCACACTGTACTTCGACGGACTACACGATTAAACGCAGCACAAAGTTGGGCTAGAAGCGACCCTAACCTTTTAAGGCGCTTATTGTATTCACATGGCTTAGCTCAAATAAAATTGACACTGCAGGACGGGAATTTGTTACAAACTTGTTTTCACCGATGTTAGCAATGGGGAGAAAATAACGGCACATTTTCCTGGCAATTATAACCAGCCCTTCGTATGGGCGTCGCTGGAACACTTCCAATATAGGTGCGGCGTCGGACCAAATTTGCCGACAAGTTTGCGTACAAAACATCCGACGCGCAACAATTGATGGGATGTGTGAAAAGTAACATTTGCCCACAAACTAGCAACGAACTATTTGAAAAGCCAAAAAAAAAGTCCTCAGATTTCAACATTTTGCAGACAACGGTAAAATAACATCAAAAAGGCCCTCGATTTGACAAATTACGGATTTGCCAAAAGAAATTTTGAACTCCCTAACTTTGACAGTGGCGCACCCAAGGGGGGAGGCTCGGGGGCCTTTTTTATTTTGGTTCCACGATTAGACCTTGGTTATATGTATGTGGCCTATTTTCGAGTAGTAAAATAGGGGTGTAAGTTGCGCCTTGTATCTCACAATCAGGCGATCAGGCTCAGCGCGGCGTAGCTCAGCAGCTCAGCTGCCAGGGTGTGTTTTCTCAACATAACAGGGGCCTTAAAGTTTACAGACACTGTTATGGTTGCAGACCAGCAAATAAACTGCCATAGACCAGTTATAAATACCCCCGATTCTCAAGATCAGGGAAAATACTCACAACTCTCCAAGGTGTTTAGACAACCATCAAACTCATCTGCTTTCTTTTCTGCTCAATATTCTGGGGGTAATTCCATGACTTTGGGGTGAAAATTCCATCCAAAGATGACCACCCCCAAAAATAGTCATGAAGCCCATCGCCATTTTGAAAAATGACGCCTACGCTCAATTGCAAAATGAACAACTTTCCGCCCTAATTTCATCGAAATTTCACAGAAATGCAATAATCACGACTTCCACCCTTCTTATTTTTGTTTATTTGTTACAAACCTTCAAGTTCATGGTCCACAAAATGCTGTAATGGCAAACAAATTGAGGGTAAACAAATCGTGATTTGGCCCGCGTAGACAAGTTTGGGCCTATTTACTGGCCTACACCCGTAATAGCTCAAACGTTGGTGAACTGCATGGTTCAGATTATAATGTAAGTCAACTACATCTTGCAAAGATGGCTTCATTATTTTGTTCAGTGATATTTTACTCATCTCTTGTTCTCATTACAATGAACAAAATCAAGAGACAATATAACGCACTTGGCGTCATTATTTTCCCGATTGTGATGGCCTTGTGACAGTGAGCTGGTTGCACGTTTGACTGTTTAGCAGTCAAATTTAACCAGGGTGTTTCAGAGTGTTAAAAAAAATAAAATTCTTCGGAAACAGGAATTCCATTATGAGAGCTCCAATGCATCCCACGGTGCCTCGCTACAAAACAAGGCACGCAAAATACTGTACGTCTTGTATTTTCAAATGTTGCTCTGAGTACTGAGAGTTTTCTAGAAAAATGTCTTCAATGTTATACATTTAATAAAGAAAGAATTTATTGAAAGCTTTTGTATTACTGTGAGTGCTTTAGGGGAGGGATTTCCTTAATAGTCTTAAGTAAATTCCCAGCAGTGTATACATTAAGCCGTCGTGGGCCTATTTTGAGCAAATTTGTGAACATGGACACCACATAAGGGAACATGCACTGTTTGATATCTGGTCCGACGCTAATACACACATGGCAATCCTAGCGCACACGTTTGAGGCAACTTGTTGACCAGACACATATGTGACTGGGATTGTAAAAAAAAAAACCTCTCAAATGGTTACATTTTGGAGGACCAACAAAAACAAAATTGGTACCCCGAAATTTCTTCCTGCGGTGATGACACAAAAACAGCCAAAGTGTACTGCATGGTTGAGTTAATGTTCATATTCTGCTTTTTAACGATCTTTCCAATTAATATCGTTTCGTGGTAAACGCGGTTTTACATTTTTTTTAAAAGTGTCAAAAGCCATGTGAAGATTCATTTTTCGTTCCGGCTGATGGAAGTTTATTGGTTTTTTTATGTTAAATGTGAAATTCAGTTTTCATGTTGTTCATTGATTCTATAGCTTCTAACATGCGGCAGTGGGCATTTCGGACTACTTAATAAACAATGAATGCTCAGTCATCCGGAAAAGGATGGACTTACAATTGGTATCATATTGAAGTTTATGCCCCAGCGCATCTTGCAATGCCAAATTTATATGACAACGATATTACGTTTTCCTGTAATTCCAGTTTTCGTAATGTTTCTTGTTTTTGGAGAGACACCCTGTAGTGATGCCCTGATTATTAAACTTGCTCAGTAAATCTACGTTAAAAAAAAATTAAAAAAACACCTTTTGTGTATGTATCAGTTTGCATCTGTGTGTCACTGTTTCTCGGTCGGTGCCACTGCTTATCCACATCTTTCTATAACATACTGGTGATATTGATTTGATTTGTTTTATCAAGGTGAACCTTCATCCTTTATAAGAAGAGCAGCACCTGGAAAAGTTTGCCCAGAGCTGAATATTCCTAACTTAAGTAAGTGGTCATTTCAAATTCTAAACAATGGGTTGTATGTATAAAAACTAGCATTGCTTTTACTACACATTTTTAAGCATTTACTTGCATTTGTATGAATCAAACAATGAAGCAAATGCTTTCACTGGAAAGCATTTGCTAGAGTGCTGTGTAAAAGTTTACAACAGAGTTTACACGAGTCAACTCATTTCTTTACAATTTATGACTGATTCCATTTGGTATTTGTTTATTTGTGATAACATTATCAAATTCCCGAATAGTTTTTAGAAAATAAACTAATTTCATACTATACAGGGAGGTCCCAAACAACAACGGAACGGCATACTTCCAATACCTCGAGTCTCAAACCACCTGTACCAATTGATAGAAAATCCTTTTAGAAGAATTATGATGCCAAAATATCCCGATTTGGTCCAGTAGTTTTTGCTGCAGGACCTTTTTTGTGAAGCACACTTTCATTTGGGTATTATACATATTCAATCCCTCCATCAATTACAATGTAAGTCAAATTCCCCGGCGCGGTTTAGTAATGCATCAGGAAAAAAATGACCCCCACCTTGCTTCACAAAATATGCTGTAGAACAAAACTACTGGACCGAATCGGGCGACCTTGGTTTCATTTTTCTTCTATAAAGATTCTCCATACAGTGGTATACGTGGTTTGAGTCTCAGGGTAGTGAAAGTATGCCATTCCGTTTTTTTTATGAGGGAAGCGGGGACCACCATGTATAGGAAAAAAAATAACCAGGCGTCGGGATATTGAAATTGTGTCTGATTGAAATTGTGTCTAACAGATTTTTTTCTAGTTTTGAAAGTCTTCGTTACATTTTGTAAAAAAAGGATCTTGTTTTCCCCCACAAAAGTACGAAACAATACACTTGATTTAAGTGACATCAAGATGAATCAATCGGAAGAGCACATCTTCAAGGGGCAACAAGACCAGGTTGACAGATTCGTCATGGAAGGGAACGGAAAATTGCAGACCATTTTGAAAAAGTCGCGAAGTTACAATGCGTCTGTGTGGGAGCACATCACAGAGAGTTTATCGCCAATAGCTATCGAGGTGGGCAACTACTCCTACATACCTGGTGGATTCTGGAAACCAACGACGTGCTTGCCGAGATGGAAGGTAAGTCCTACATGAAAACAAATAATAAAGCTTATGGACTTGTGCGTTCTTTCAGCAAAACGAAAACAATTCACACACATCCTTATGTGATTTGTTTTCGTTTTGCTGAAAGAACACTGAACTCTTTGTGATCCGTGGACAGAACCTTAAAACGGCGGTTGTGTTTAAAACTCCGTAACTTAAAAAGTACATAAATGATTTAAATGATTCTTGTACTAAAGAAAGCTCATGAATTGGGCTTTCATGTCCTAAATTTTTTAATGTGCTGCATGCAGAACGTAACTAAAACAATGGTCCCAAAATTTCGGTTTCGATTTATTGTTCAGACGTGCTGTGTTGATGCCAATCGCTAGTGTTGTTCTCTGTTCGGTCGTGTTGGACCTCAAATCTTAACCTTAAAGACACGTAGGATTTGCAATAACCTCGAAAAGTACCCACCGAATACATGTACATGGGTGACTCCATAAATGTAGAGACCAACACATTTTGGTGTCCCTCTTTACATTGTGGTATTTGTTTTCCTAGCATTACCAATCGTGAGAAATATACAAACGATTTTAGTTGCTCAAATTATGGTACCCATATACCTAAATATCTTGTAGCAAAGGATGATGCATGTAACTTATTTCCTTACAGTGTGGGTGTCCTATAAATAGTTCACGGTTTCACGTGTAAAGGGACACCGAAGTTTAATATAAGTCATTTTTGAAACTGCTTTGCAGCTATTGAAATGTGCTTTTTGGATTCTTATATCAAATTCTACTATGTGCACATAGGCCCCTATGCGTTTGAAAAACATGCCCTTTATTATTTTACGGCAAGAACATACTGCTGGCACTAGGCTGAATGATTAGAGTGCGTTCGCCACAATGTTTCACGTGTAAACAAGACCCACTTTTCTGGTGTCCCTTTTTACACGAGAAATTGTGGTCAATTTACTAGGTTTCACGTGTAAATAGAAGCACCAAAATGGTGTCCTTTTCGCACTCATGCACAGAATTGCTATTTCTAGTCTATCAGCAAGTTGTTTTCCTGGGTAAGACAAAAATAAATTTTAAAAATAAACACACCACATTGAGTATGAATTATCACAAAAACATAGCAGAAAATTAATTCGGTGCCCCCTTTACATGTGAAAACGTGAATTGGTTTTGACATGGTATTTTGGTTTTTCTGGAGTAAAAATGAAGAATGTCAATATCTTTAAGTTGGACTAAAAATTATTATTGAATCCCCTTTCAATATTTTGTTTCCATTTTGGGTCAAAATGTCACAATTTGGTATCTTAATTCATGGAATTACCCACATGGTAGGAACCTTGCTCAAATTGAAAATGTGACTGGTTTCAAACACCATGTGAAATGCCTCCGCCGTACATGACATCGTTTGCAAAAAGAAAACCAACATAAGCAGTGGTTTCGAAATAGGGCGCATGCATAATGTAAGCACAATTCGTTTTTTATTTTTAAAATTGGTCCTGCCATTTGGGTTTCGTGGTGTTTTTTTTTACTCACCGTGCATAGTAGGGTTTAGGCGTCAATAATGATACATATCAAAATGAATGTACACTCAAGATAGTTATAAAAGTAATGTTATATTTTCCAGGTTGCTATCATCATCCCGTATCGCAACCGGTCATATCATCTGCCAATCCTGCTTCGGTATTTGACTCCTATGCTCCAGAGGCAGTTGCTGGAGTTTGCTTTCTTCGTTGTCCATCAGGTATAAACCCCTTCTCGTCCAGCACATTGTAATATTTTGTTTCCTATGCCAGTGATCGTCTAGCATTTATTTATTACATTTCTTTACCCAGGGTATGCCCAAACAGTTCAAAACTGGTTTCCATTGGGGCCTCACATTCAATAAAAAAAATGACTACAAACATGTTACAAACACAATACAATGCAATACGATGGGATTTTAGTGGGTGCAAGATTAGTTAAATGAATAATATATTGAATAATTTCAGTGGCTAACTTTCCGTGAAAGATTAAGTTTCTGTGGCTTACTTTGCCAAAAAGATATATCCATATGATGTTACCGCAAACTTAGTACATGTAGCATGGCATAGATGGCATAGATGGTTGTTGTGTTGGATATAGGGCAGCTTCCACCTGTAAACTCTCCATGGAGCTGATATGATCTCTGGAATGTTTTTATTGGCCTCATGATCAAGTGATAAACGTGTGTTATTATTAGGATTTTTGGTTGACAGGATAACCGCTTGGAGTTCAACCGAGCAATGCTCATGAATGTTGGATTCGCCGAGTCCCTCAATTTCTCCAAGTGGGACTGTTTTATCTTCCACGATGTGGACCACATACCGATCAGTGACTTCAATTACTACGGGTGTAGCGGCATGCCTAGGCACTTCGTCAGCGGTGTCGACAAGTGGAAATACAAGTAATTTTGTCTCACTCTTTGGCCGTCGTGGAGGCCCATATTGGCCTTGAATTTGATCTGGGCTCGATCTTAATTAAGGCACCACAAAATGGCCACAAAGGTTTCACTTTTCTAGTAGGCCAACCATTAGAACAAGTATAAGTGTCTGGTTGACGATAAGGAAATTTCAAGAAGTATTCGAGACAGTGCGCACCTATAGCTTACTCTGTTCCAAGATCGCAGGAGTTAGATTGCGCATGCGCTAAACTCCAAGTAGCAATTAGCCTTCTTTATTTATAGGGCTAAGAAATACTGTTTTCCCATACAAATTACCCGTTTTGTAGTTTCTGAACAAAGTAGAAAAGGGAGACAGAGGAACGTAGACACTATGACATGCACTGTACACCACTTGCTGTTTACTTCTGGAGGGCTGATCCAAGTATCGATCATTCGTTTAGTCTTGGTCCAAGTCTGGATTGTATTCCTATTTTGCAGCCAGTCCCTTGACAAACGCAGTTAAGTTTCCGCGACAATGGAGGTCTCTACCAGCAAGATGAATCAAATCCAGTTTTGGCAACATTGGCAGCGCTACCCAGGAAATTCCGAGCATTTCTCACGCTCATGCATTAGACCAAATCCAGTCTTAGAAACTTTGGCAGCGCTACCCAGGAAATTCTGAGCATTCCTTATGAGTGTGCATTAGAGCACATCCAGTCTTGGGAGCTTTGGCAAGGCTAACCAGGAAATCACGAACATACCTCATGCGTGTGCTTTAGATCACATCCAGTCGTGGCAACATTGGCAGCGCTACCCAGGAAATTCCGAACATTCGTCACGCTCGTGCATTAGATCAAATCAAGTCTTAGAAACTTTGGCAGCGCTACCCAAAAAAAAATCCGAGCATACATCAGCCGCATGCACTAGCTTGAATACAGAGTACGTGAGGTATACTCAGAATTCCTGGGTAGCGCTGCCAAAATTATCAAGACTGGATTTGATTCATCTTGTCCTTAGCGACCTCACTTGTCACGGACCGGCTGTAAAAGGGGAACAAAATAAAACCCAATCTTGGACTAAGACTACCACTCGTTCCGTGACGTAGCAAGAAGGACGAAAGTCTCTTTGCAGAACTAGGTCTCTTTGCAGAACTAGGTGAATGTGGATACATCTAAAAGAGGCCCAGGTTATGCATTACGTATTACAACATGTTACTGACGTAGCACATGCACCTCCCTTCTTGTTTTTAATTTAGGTTACCATATGCCTCTTTCTTCGGTGCCGTGTCTGGCTTAACTACGGACAATATGCGCAGTATTAACGGCTTTCCCAACGTGTACTGGGGCTGGGGAGGCGAGGACGATGAACTGTGGGAACGCTGCAAAGCGGCTCAACTGCCGGTCTCCCGACCGGTTGGTTTCCCCGGTTATTATCACGCCATCCAGCACCACCACCTCAGAGCAAAACCTGCCAAAGAAAGGTCAGTATCATTCCCGTGAAAAGGAATTACGCAGGGTGTATTACAAGAGCTAATCCAAAAGTAGAGGATTAGTCAGTGTGGTCATATTATAAAGAAGGTTGATCCCCTTTGTTATTATTATTATTATTATTTATTCGGCCGTCAACAACAGGCACAAAGTACAACATACATACAATTCCGAAATACACTAAAATTAGAGACAAAAAACAACCCTATCAAAGTTGGCCAGGACTGACATAGGTATAATGAAACCTTTGACTCGAAAGCCTGCCAATCCTAACTTGAATAGATTACACATAGAATAGAAATGAAAATATATAAAATAAATGCATAAATACTATATGATAAAATTTTGCTCAGAAAAAAACAGTGAGATAAAAAAAAATTATTACAAACTTTATTTTATAATAACATCTACAAAAAAATCCCCTTCTGCAATCGCCCTCCCTCTTTAAGTCACTCCCTCACCACCCCCCCCCACCCCACACCAAATACATGCAAGCTGTCTATCTAAAAGACAAAAAGAACAATGAATAGGAAAATAATGGAATGAGCTGCAACACTTTAAAATGTAATTCAAATAAAAAAAACAAGGCAAGAAAAATCAAAAATAAAACAAACATGTAGAAATGGAAAAAGAACTGACAAATGAATTTAAAAATGTCCCAAAAAAATTAAGTAAATACATGTAGGTGAAAAACGATCGATTTAACCTCGGCAATAATAAAAGATGAACGTCAAACAGTAAAAACACTAAAGTTGTAATGTACAAGTACTTGCACAGGAATCTTCCTGATTCAAGTCACTTTGTGTTGATAACTTGTTTGAACCTTTGGTTAATTGTATGAGGATCAGAAGTGGTGGGCAAAGCCACGATACGAACGGCGTCGGATATAATAGCATGTCATTTCGTACGAGCACCGTCATTTCGAGTACGAGTACTTTGACATTCAAGTACGAGAACGAGTACGAGTACTATAAAAAATAAAAAAGTATCGAGTAGTACTCGAGTACAAGTACCGAGTACGAGTACGAGTACTACAACACTGAATTCTAATCCATTATAAGTTGGCATATTGATGATGCTTTATTTAAAGGTGTGTAATTACAGTCCACTTGGCATCAGTTGGCGACATTTTTGTATTTCAATTTCAACTTTGTACGAATAGTTCCCGGTTTTGGTGCAAGGTAATATCAGAAATTTAGAAATGAATTCGCAGAATCGGATTTCTTGTCTTATGTGGCGATCAGCATCAAACTTGTTTTGATGTTACTTACATACAATATTTTGAATAAAACAAACCATCGGTTCCACTTTCAAACGTTTGGGGACGGTTGTCGATGTGGGGCACAATTTCACAACATTTTTACCCCAATAACGAGTCTTCATAACGAGTCTTACCACTCATTCCGTTCTTTTTCCTTGATTGTATAATGACAGATTCAACTTGCTAAGAAGCTTCAAACCTCGCTCTGGGCGGGACGGCTTGAGCAACCTCCAGTACAAGCGGCCTGTGCTGGAGCTCCACGAACTCTACACGAATATCTCGGTGGACATCCAAAAGCTGCACATCGATCCGCGTTTTTTGAGACAGACAGCCGTCAGGACCAAGCCGGGGACCGTGAAGAAAGTTTACAAACCGGCGAACAAATCGTCGAAAGTTCAGAAGACCAAAGCGAAACTAGCGAAAGCCGCTGAAAGCGAATCGAGAAACCAGACTCGTGTAGAAACGCCATTGAAGCGGAAAAGAACTTCAGAATTGGCGATGGAGGTACATGAGGACTTGGATGTGGACTTGGAAGTTGATTAAAACAAATAGCATTTTGTTTAGTGGATTCGAAGCGATCACCGCCCGGCTGCTCCCGGCGGTAACGAAAACTTGAGAAGGGAGCAGCTCCCATCTTATCTTTGTAATCCAGATGATATGACAAGTGCCCCTTTGGTGCTGTTTCGAAGTGAGAGTCCTCAGGTGTTAGTCATTGATATTTCAAACAAGTATGTCATCAACATACGTATATTTCAGAGTTGCAATATCGTGCAATGCTCAGTATGATTTCGCCATCGTAGAAGAGACAATGCACATTTTATGGTGTATATTACACAGAGCGAGATAACCTGCAGATGCTCTCCAGTTTGGGCGGAGTAGCCTACGTTCGATTATAACCGTTCTTTGCATCCGGTGGTTATGATGTCGTTCTTCATCTTCAGGGCTTCTCTTTTGGGATCCACCCGATCCGATGTTCCCCAATGACTTTGTTTCCCAGTCCCTAGGGTTAGGGTTAGGGCTAGGGCTAGGGTTAAGGTTAGGACTGGGGAATGTAGAGATTGGGGAACATCATAGGCGTAGCCAGCGGGGGGGGGGGGGGGGGGGGGGGGGGGGGGGGGGGGGGGGGGGGGGGGGGGGGGGGGGGGGGATTTACCCCCCAATATTTTGAAAAGACTGCCTTTTTCCATTCAAATGCCCTTTTTTCAACTGGCTTACCCCCCCCCCAATAATTTGTAAAGAGTGCCCCTTTTTTACGAAGTGCCCTTTTTTCTGAAAAAGTGCCCTTTTTAAAAAAGAAGTGGTGCCCTTTTTTGTGGCATCGGCCGTTTCGGGTGCCTTTTTCAGAATTTCGCACATGTATCGCCCTGAAAAGCACCATATATTGGCCCTTTGTGTTCATAATTGTCGGTTTTGAACTGCGCCCCCATCGACAGATTGTACCAGCTTATGAAAGTTTTGAAAGAGTTGAAATTTGATATCATGCTAGATTTTGAAAGTGTTACATTCAGAACTTCACTAAAACAATGGTCCCGACATTTGGGTTTCGGTTTTTTTACTCACCCTGTATATACGACTGGATTCACATACAGCGCAGGTAATCAAAAACTCATGAACCATTTGTTGATAATCTTAATAATCATAATATAGCACTGAAATGTAACTGGATATTCAAATTGTTAAACAATAAGATTGAGAAATGGAAAATCCTTTGCATTTTGTATTTTAAACTCATGTTGTCCAGACCTTTCAGTCCCCAATATGAATTTAAAAAAACCAAAGTGCTGCTCACGTATTACTTTAAACCTTCCACAATTTTAGGAAGAGTTAATATTCTGTCGGCAGGATCTGAACTCAACAAAGACTGTACAAATCGATTTACAGTCAACTGATATAAAAACACAAATACTGTGGGGTAATAATTTTTTTTTTTTTTATTGTTCATACCATTCTCGTAGTCCAATGACTGAATTGCGATGGCTTACAATTTACAATATGACAGAAATTATTTTAAAAGGACTATTTATACATACATGTGCATTAATAATGTTAATTTTCTGAACCAGACTAGACAAAATGAATGGAAAACATTCTATACACAAATGTGTTTTTGTACAACTGTATACGCATTTCAATCAAATACAATTATATTATTCAGGGATTAGCATTACAACTAAAGAAATATACAAAGTTTTAATTGATGAAAAAAAAAGAAATACGCCAGTTAGTCACAAACGCTGGGAAGATATACTAAATGAAGAAATACAGTGGAATTCTGTGCGGAAACAAAAACAGTTATACATATAAAAGAAGCTAAGTTGAACAAATTTAATTACAAATTTCAAGACCGTATACTACAAACTAAAAACCTGTTATATAAATGGAACATTGTAACTAGTCCGCTATGTTGTTTATGTCACGAAGTTGATAATTATGATCATAGTTTTGTGACATGTGTACATACATTAAAATTTTGGAATGAATTTGCTCAGTATTATCAAGCGAAAACGAAACACTTCTAAATTGCCAATAATCGGTTTTCTTTCTATTTCGTAACTAGCCTTGATTTCGATTTTGAAATCAATTTGTTAACAGCAATAGCAATGTATTACATATTTAAAGTAAGATTAAAGACATATCAAGACAATAAGTGGGTCAACATGCTTCCGAGGATTGGCTTTGTGTTTTCCTTTGTTCCCTGATTTAAACTTTTCCCATAGTTTCAAAGCAGAACCGTTGATGAGGCGAATTTGTAAACGAAACGTTTGAGGCTTTGTTGTTGGTACAAGGACACCTGAAAATAATCCGACTCAAAATTGAGCTCGGGTCTTTTACGTTATATCCCTTTAAAAGCGTTACAGTGTTTATAAACTGTTGCCCCAACAAATTTATGTGTTCAGATTTAATCACTACACTGCAAAACACTGTGTTAAGCAATTGAACACTTTTCCAAACACTTTCTAGCTATAGTTTGTAAACTTTTTTGTAAATACTAAGCATGTTTAGTGTAAGGATGGATAGTGTTTAGCAATTGAACATTGATGTTTAGGAATTGAACACATCATGTTTAGCTGCTAAACATGTTTACAAAGCCTGACAGCAAGATTGTGTTAAACTGCTTAACACAGTTTTTAGAGTGTAGGTTTTACAGTGAATGAGTTGGCCTACTTACAACGCAAAACGTTTATCATTTTCATAATGGGCAAGTTCAGTAAAAGCAGACCTTGGATGTAAGGAGGGCCCGACATCTCACTAGTAGAATGCTGCGTTTTGTTTTTCAGAAAGATTAGGCTCTGATCGAATGTATATTTCAGCCATTCTAGTCAATTAGCGGTTTGAATAGTGTTTTAAGCCCAGCGGCGTAGCCAGGGTTCTCATCCTAGGGGGGCGTGTCCCCTACACTTGAGGTTACAATGGAGGGGTGCTCAAAGATTTTGTGCTGAAAGGTATAGACACGGTTTTTTCAACGGACATCCGCCCTGGCCCTCCGTAAACTCAAATAGTGGGGGGGGGGGGGGGGGGGGGGGGGGCCTTGGGGGCTTAACACCATCTTCCAAAGGGGGCGCTATTCAAAACGTATACCATGGCTACATTACACAATAACTTCCGCGATTCGCTTTCCAAGGGACGTTACAATAAGCCTTTTCGGAGTTCCAACTGCGCATTCGTAACCTGTGACAACGCGCATTATTTGTCTCTAATGGCCTTTGACAACATCGCGCCACTGACTTTACAAAAAGGCGGTTTGTGCATTGTGGGTACTGTCAAAGGGCATTTGAGACAAACATTTGTCACAGGTTACGAATGCGCGCAGTTGGAACTCCGAAAAGGCTTATAAACAGCCACTCGCGAAAAAAAGAAAATTTTACTTGGAAATAAAAGCCAATGGTTATCAGTTAGTTTCATTGAAACACTTGGACGCGAGCCGATCAATGAGGCACATTGTCGTCGTTACAGCAGCCATGAAACCAAGCGAGAAGAACGAAGCACTGTAGCTCTGTGTCATGTCGTATAACGCTCCTGAATTGAAACAAATTAAAGAAATGAAATCACGTCAAATGTGTTACCAACATAGAAAATATAGGTATGGTTTGAAAGATACGCCTTTCCACTTTTATAACATGAGACATCAAACGTCCAAATCTGATAATTTGTGACATAGTTATGAGTAATTTTCCGAAGAGAGGTCAAATTGACCATCGGACCATTTTTAAAAGTTGTAACACTGGTGTTTGCAATACCTGTCGATCTTTTCAAGCCTTGCAAATAATTATACGGTTCCTATGCATTATGGTGTGCAGTAAAACTTTGCAGTATCGCCTCCTTCACGAGTTATTAATTAATAAATATCACCCTTATTGCCGGCTTCCATTGGTCTATACCGAGACCCACGCGAAGTCACGCCGAGTCACGCTAATGGATATGATAATATAAGCGCTTCGTCAGCTTGGTTGCCCCAAAATCGGCCAACCTGAATGCACGTGAGTTTGGTGGGCAGAAAATCCTCGCCGAATTTTCCTTTGAGATAGTTCGAGGTGTAACGCAAGCGTTTGCGACAACATATTAAGCTGAAATTCGGAATATATTTAGATGTTATAAGTGTTCAACTACTCGTGAAATAACAATTTGAGGGGATACCTAGAAATGGAGATAAATACATAGATTTGGGGGCGTTAGATTTGGGGACGTTCTCGAACGATTGCTTCCCGACTTTACGGTCAGATTTACCAGAAACCATTATTGACGTTTCGGCATCGATGACGGCGATTTTGTTCACTGACATGAAGTTTAGAATTTCTTCCTCCGTTATAATATTACATTTCAATCATACTGAGCATATTCTCTGAGAAACACAGCGTTCAAAAAGCCATGTTTTTTGGGGTGCATAAATTTCACTGCTCTAGCGTTCAAGTGTGCCGGTACGTAATCGGATTAACTCTAATTGTTTCACAACGGCGACGTTTCAGTTAGGTCTTCGCAACCACATGGCTGTGTTAGTTCGACTGGCAGCTTCAGTAAGCCGTCTACGCTACGTGGGCTAGGTCCTACTTCTCAAAGACATACACGATTGCAGCGAACAAGTGAAAGAATCGACATTCTAAGACATTAGTTCGCTTCCCGTTGGAATATTGTGCAAACACTTGGGACCCACGCACAAACTCTGACAAAACTGGGAACTACAAGAGGGACGCCAGTGTTACGGACATTTTTAAAAGAAAAATTGACTGTGGTTAACTTTGGAAGAACGCAGGACAGTTAGTAGCTTTCCAGAATGACAAACTTACCCAAAACATCTAACATGGGTCAACTAAAGGGGCTGCACATCTGACTTACGTTGATTCCGCTAAAATTAACACCAACAAGCCTTGATTGCTACAAATATTCCCTCATTCCACGTACAATATCAGAGTGGAACCTTATTCCACTCTCCACAAAGGAAGCCGCTACTGCTGATACCTTCATATCAGATTGTTAACTTTGGATGTGACCTCTTAAACCGCACTCAACTAGATTAATATCTTTCTGCCAGCACTACGCCTGCGTGTTTCACCCTCCAGGGGGTGTTTACGCAGTACCGAAACAGAAACAGTCCTGAGCAGGGGCAACACGAAATCTTACCCGCCAGAAAACCGCCCAAGATCTCCCCAGCGCCGAATAAGCAGTGACCTATGATGCAAATGTCCATGACATAGCCAGATTCCTCGTAGAGTTCTTTTGAGACCGAGGGAATAATCCAATTGACGATTCCTTCTGCGGCCCCATTTACGCTGGCCAACAACATCAGAGCCTGTAGGGTATAGTACGAAACAAGAAAAAAGAAGAATCTAATTCATTATGCATATTTTTATTTTTATTTTGAAAAACGCTCACTATCTCGTTTGAAAGTATAATGGACGGGTTTTACTTTAATAATTTTTGTTTTTACCCGGGATGTGATGCGGTTGTCGAAGTATAACAATCTGGAACAAAATTGGCAACATTCTTCCTTTCTTTTATTTTGACCTTTTGTACATTTCCGTTTTCCTTTGCAACGATATCACTCCAGGAAATGTCATCCATGCTGTTTTATAGCAAACTTACCAAACAGTTATCTGCAG